GCATTTCAGGACAAAGGTCTGCTGTTCTCACAACTGTTGGTAAGATTGGTGTCATTTATTCCCCTCATATGGATCTGAGTTTAGAAAGACTGAGTGATTTGCGTAGGTTTTCCAGGGTAGCAGTCCTTGTGCCTTACTGGAATCCCATTGCTCTGCTCAAAACCGGCTTTTGAACGGCAGCTTCCCTTCTGGAGATAAGCACAGGTTTTGGGTGGAGGGCTCGCATTATTCTATGCAGCAGCTGTTGCAGGTAATGAGAATGCTTGAAAAGAGCAGCACAGTGTCCTAATTACCTGTGGCAAGGAAAACATCTGTGTAGGAAAAGTAATGAAATTAATTCTAACGTCTAGCAATTGCGTACATTAATTGACATTAATTAATGCCAAATTACAAGATGCTTCCTATGGAATGGCATTACACACCCACCAGAATTGGATATGGAAAGACTTCATCATACTTAATGCTGTTACAGCCAGCCCCCAGGGGGATGAGAGTGATTGGTCCCTCATTATGAACCGCAGCCAATTTCTTGCTATTTCCATTAGGAGGAGAAAGGGAACAAACCAGGAATACTTTACCAGGCAGTCAGCTCAGAACTGATCATTTACCCTTCAGCTTGTAAATTTTACTTTGAGACATTCTGAGCAAAAAGTGGTGTAAGGACTTCTTCCATTGGCTTTTTTTTAATGTCACCTAGTTGGATACCGTACCTTGTAGCTCTCAGCCCAGAAACAGGTTTAGATCACAGCTCAGGCACGGTGGGCTGCATGGCAAATGAAGGGAAAGAGAACATGCAGAGAAATTAGACACAGCTGATTGCACAGGCTCACATCCCTTCCCGGCACTCACCTGCCCCAGAAGTGCTGGATGAGGGGTTTGTACACAGCCTGTCCAGTCTCCTCAGATTGCTGCCTCTCCATTCTTGTTGACATGCCATGTACATGTTTTATTCATTTACACCTTGCAAAAAAGTGGGTCCATAATGCACATAGTTTGGTAACCTACTTTAAACAAACTTCTATTTTGCAAAACTTTTAGATCGAAAAGTTACCAAGATTGTTTACAGTGCATGTGCTCACTATTCAGCCTCCTAGAGTGTTCACATTTTAAAAACCAACACTTAGTCTTCAAAACTAAGAGATGAACATCAATGTGATACAATTGGCTGGTAACCTCCTTTTATAATATAAAGTTCATTAAGCGGTTCCTCTTGGATGCAGAAATTTTAATAGCAAACCATGCATTGTATAGTTTAATTATTCCTCTGTTTTCACCTGTTTGTGTTCTTTAGTTTTATTTTTTATCACTGAACAGCACTCTGATGAGTAACCAGGAGGCTAAAGCTTTGCACCAATCATCATCTTAGATAGAATTCGCAGAAATGAACCTGAGATGAAAGATATACTTCCAAGTACCTTGACCTATATTGTCTGCGTACCACTTAAAATATGAATTGGCAGGTGGTATCATGTTGTATGTAGGTATATCTGTTGATTATCAGAAGAAGAATATATTTTCTAAAACATTGGCTCCAAACTCACTGAGAGTTTTTATGCAACTTAGTCTAATAAAAATAAAATAAAGGTGCAGTCAGGGCAACTAAGTCAAAACCCTATGCAGTACTGACATCTCCACAAAGTCTGTTTCTTTGAGTTTCACTTTATCTGCAAAATCAGTTGATTTGTTATATTCTGTGGTGTTGTGGGGTTAAATGTGCTAAATTAATGTGAAGAACTTCAGAATATCTGACCGAGGGATGAACAAAAAAACTTACTTTATTTTTCTACATTTTCTCCCCCACTCCTCAGATTTATAATTCATATAGATGAGTTACACATATTACATTTGTTTACATTTTCCATCTATGAAGAGGAGATAGAGGTCTTAAGAAAAAAACTATTAGATACTATTGAAAATTAAACAACTGTTATCCATTAATGAGTCTTCATTTTGCATCAGCTCTAGAAATTATCACGAAAGTTGTAATTGGAAGTCCAGCAACTCCCAATCAAAAACCTTTGACTTAATTTTCTTTAATTGTTATTTTCATTCATTATCTCACATGAAAATCATGGAGGTAGAGTAGATCTAGGTTGATACAATCAGTAGCTCAAGGATGTTATGAGGAAACAGATCCTTTCCCTATTATTTCCCCATTCATTATATACACTTATCTGTAAGTCTGGCTTCTTCAGATAACAGGAAGTGTAGAGCAGGTCCAGAAACAACATGGAGGCTCAGAATTGCACAGGCAGGAGGAAGGGCTCCTCCATCATCTCCTGGGGTTTGCCCCCACTTCTGATTTGCCAACACTGGGTTGGAATGAGCTCTTCTAAGTGAACCAATGACAAGGAGACTGGGAAGACCCTGAGTGGGCTTAGATTCCACAAGATTAGTGCTCACATTGTGAAACTCACACCCCAAGGAGGGAGAGGTGAACAGCAGATCCATCATTGTCTTTTTCAGCACTTAGATAAGAGTGAATGCTGCTCACCTCACTAACTATATTTCTGCATAGCTAGACTCTTCCAGTTCAGTTTAGTCAGTCTTTCTGAGGACTTACTATGTGCTTCACACTGATTTTATTATTGTGAAAGAGAAAGCAAGAATATTAACCACAGTAATAACATGTGGAGAAGTTTGAATTTCAAAACATTTAGCATTATACTATTTGATTAATTTTATCTAGTATTTAATCTACTAGGTAGTTCATGTTGTTAGTTTTGTTTAATAGATAAAGGAATCAAGATTCAGGAAGGTGAAATGATTCCCTGTGAACTCAGCAGCTAGTAACTGGCCACACTAGAACGAAACCCAGTTCTCGTAGTCACAGATCTTCCTTGCTTCTGTGACTCCAAATTATTTTTTGAAAAAGTGAAGTTGCTTAAAAGCTGAAAAAAGTCTAAAGGAATGTGAAATTGTGAGGTAAAACTTTATGTGTCATAGGATGAATGATTGTGGAGAGAGATGAAACCCAGAAATTGTTTATTTTTTATTTTTGTTTTTGTAATGGAATCAAACTCAGGACCTTGCACTTGCCAAGCAGGCGTTTATACTGCTGAGCCATATCCCCAGCCCTGCCGAAATTGTTTGTAAGGAAAAATATCTTGAGTTATGCGCTAACGTGAGACTACAGTAATGTCTGAAAAAGGAAATGTGGAAGAAAGAAGAGAGAGCCTTTCTTTATTTCGAATTTGGGGATGGTTTTACCAGGAGTACATAGGGGAGAGTACCGGGGAGCCATCCTGTGCCCCAGGGGGCAACAGAGGGGGGAGTCAGGCCCTCTCATCCCTCTCCTCAGCGATGGACCCACAGGGACATCAGAACTTGTCCCATGATGCCAATGGCTGTGACACTCCCACGACCATCCGGGGCAGCCTGGGAGTAGCCTCTTTCCTGTGTGAAGGTGGTGGTCCTGGGAAGCTCTGTCCTACTCACTTCCTGGAGAGAAGCCTGTAGTAAATCTACGTATACACCTCAGCACACTGGAGCGCATCCCCACTCCACATAAGTGAGCACCACCTGCTGTGTGCATCTGGAAGAGACATGTGTTCTCTGAGGCCTTAAAACTCAAATTCACTCAGTCATTAGCCATCAAAAACAATTAAATAAATTCTTTTCATTCAAAAACATGTATTTCAGTAAAGGGGCGTATTCCAGCAGATCTTCATTTAGTGCCTACTATATGCTATGTGTGTTATTAAATAACAAGACCTGAATCTACAGCAAAGAGCAACAGATAGATAGATAAATATAGATAGATAGATAGATAGACAGATAGACAGACAGATAGCTAAAAGAAACAAATGAGATAAAGACAAGATTAAGAAAGGCATCTATCTTCATGGAATGTCTTGATGGAAATTACATTCTAATAAGAGTAACATATGGAAATAAACCAACTAATTTTATAATTTTAATAATTTCTGTGGAAGGAATTTGTAGGGTGGTGTATAACAGAGTGGGATCATGGGAGATTCTGAAGTGAGCTGAAATCTGTACCTTTCTTTGGTAACAGCCTGTGAGGAAGCATTTTAGGCAGTGTGGACACAAATGAAACGTTTCCAAGGTGGTAGAAAAGTATGTAGAATTGAAAACTTCACAGGAAAGATGGAGGAGAAGCAGCGGAAAAGGCAGGAAGTTGAGCGGGGGGCTTGACTTGATTCCAAGTGCAGGGCGGCAGACGCAGTCCTAGGTACGCACTGACATGATGTGATCACACAGAGTCCCGAACATCTGCGTTTGGAAAGCAGTAGAGCACACTTCAGCTGCAGGGACTGAGAGTAACCGTTACTGTCGTTGCGTGCTGCAGCCGCTGTGCAGGTTCAGGTGAGATCGAGGCGCTCAGTGTACTCCTCCATAAAATGAAAACAAACTTTTCCACTCAGAAATCTCTTTATTATGTTTCACTTTTAATCCATAGTAGAAGAAACACCTTGATCTTAATTAAAAAAAAAAAAACCTTGTATTTATAATAGCGCCTCTCCCACCATAGATGGTTAATGGCTGCCTGTATGTAGTTCCCTGTCCCTCAGTCAGGGTCCGAGTTGAGAGGGAAAGGCTACGAAAGAGAAAATTATAGCAGTGAAATCACAAATGCTGTTCTAGTTTTTGAAAATCCTTCATTTGGTGGAGAAAAACACAGAAGTATTTAGTACTCTGTCGTGGCGAGAGTTTGGGGGAATCAGGAGACAGTGGTACTGAGAGCAAAGGAGCAGAATCATGGTAATGATTTTTAAAATAATAATGGTAACAGTGATGTATGTAAAAGGCTTAAGGTTTCTGCAAAGACTTGGAGGTAGTAGGAAAAACACAAAAATATCCACTGTGATTCTAAAGCTCTACTTGTACACTCAGAGGATGGGAAAGTCACGAGGCATTAGAACAGAAAGAGTGTAAGCATGCTTTGCTTCTTTTTAGCAGTTAGAGAACATTTTAGTCTTGTTTGGACAATTCATGTAAGTATTCAGTTATCACTTTCCCCCATTTTGTTTTCCCAGATTCACAATATCTCACTTGCAGAATGCAGAACTGCACCGACGCGAACAAGAACAAACCTTTCCCAGGCTACATCGACCCAGACTCTCTGATCGTCCAGGATGACTATGTGTTTGTCCAGGTGGGAAAGAGCCCCTCTACTGGTTGTCTCCAAAGTGTCCACATTGTTTCTGGAACTGTTGCAGGTCCAGTCCTTCTTGACTGCTCAAGGGACCTCGAGTAAAGATGGGAGGGAGAAAGGGAAGGAAGGAAGGAAAGAAGGAAGGAAGGAAGGAAGGAAGGAAAGAAGGACAGAAGGAAGGGAAGAAGGAAGGAAGGAAAGAGGAAGGAAAGAGAAGGGAAGGGAAGAAGGAAGGAAGGAAGGAAGGAAGGGAGGGAGGAAGGAAGGAAGAAGGAAGGAAAATAGGAAGGAAGGAAGAAGGAAGGAAAGAAGGAAGGAAGGAGAGAGGGAGGGAGGGAAGGAGGGACGAAGGGAGGGAAGAAGGGAGGGAGGGGGAGGAAGGAAGGAAGGAAAAGAAAGGGAGGAAGTGAGGCGGGACGGATAAGGAAGTGTCTCTACTAACAGAATATTAGATTTGCCAGGTAGCTTCCACAGGATCTTATCAACAGGCCATGAGTGCACTGCTTAGAGTAGTAACATTGTCACCAGAGTGGTGGTCGGTTCCATTTATCCCCATCTGCTTCCCTAAAAAACTTCCAGTCATCAAAGAGACTGGATAGATAGGTTCATCTTTTCTCAGTCAAGGCACACTGGGCTGGTCAGTCCCTCCCAAACACTACACTAAAAGTAGAGGGAAGGCTGGGAAGGGGAAGCTGTGTGATGTCTGGAGGTCAGGGGGACCATGGCCAGAGTGAACACAATTAGCTATTGTCCTGGACTGTGATGAGGAGACAGAGACTGAGCCTGAGGTGCCTTTAGCTGTTCTACGCCCTCAGAGGATGGGAAAGTCATGAGGCATTAGAACAGAAAGAGTGTTAAGCATGCTTTGCTTCTTTTTAGCAGTTAAGGAACGTTTTAGTCTTGTTTGGACAATTCATATAAGTATTCAATTATCACTTTCCATGTCAAAAATAACATAGGTATAACTTAAATAGTTTGTGTGTGTAAACAAAAACACAATCAAGACACACTCTAGACGTGTATATATATATATAAATATGAAGTTGTGATTTACAATATTTAAAATTCTGTTGACAAAGTAATTTTTCAAGGGTGTAGCACCAGCCTATGTAATAGTTAAATGTTTCTCAAATGATGATACACCCCCACCATGTCCTTTTTCTCCAGGGAAGCTAGTAAAGAGTGCTGTGGTAGTTCCCAGCGACATTCGCAGTTACATATCCTGGTTCCGTCCAGTGCGTTTCTCAGTCAGGTCCTCTCCCGGGCTCCTTTCCTTGGGTCCTCTAACGGTTTATCGTCCACACGGAGGACTTACAAGGGAGACTCAGTTCTGCATTTCCTCGCACATTTTCTCCCCATGGCATTGTGGCCGTGACTCGGGAGCCCACCCCAGGGTCTAGGAGGTGATCTGCACACGCCGGCGTGGCAGGCGCTCACTTTCCATTTTCGGATGAGCATTCACCCAGCACTCCTTACCATTCTGAGCTGCAGACTCCGAGACATTTGAACTCCAGGCATTTACATGGGTTCCGAGGGGCCCCTGCGGAGTGAGCCTGACAGGATGCCCTTGGTGCTGTGCTCCGACTCTGTGCCTGTGTCTGAGTGGGGGCCACAGCCTTCCCTGCCCCTTGTCACACTGATGGCTTACGTGTCCTAGACAAACGGCCAGCTTTCACAGTTTTCCTCCGAAAGAGATCTGGAATGAGCTTCAGCGCCTGCGAGGCTCACTCCCTCCCAGGCCGCACTCCTGTCGATGGGACAGGACCACAGTCATCAGTGTGACCCCATCACACTGGGCCGCGGTACCCAGAGATGTGAGCCCTGTCCACTGTTTCACCGGAACCGCTTTTATCTAGTATGGCGAGGGCCCCTGTCGGCGTGGCCCTGAGCTTGGACTGGGGAGCTCAGCTGCTGAGGGACAGTGAGCCCAGATGCCCCGAGGCTGGTGTTACTGGGGAAAACAATGCCTGAGCGTGATTCCTGGCTTATGAGCCCCAGTGCAGATGGAAGAGTGGTACTTGTTGCACTAGCTTCAGCTCGGCCTTTGACAGGTGCACATGCGGTGTGTGCTGCCTTTGAACAAAACGCCACTTCATCGCAGTCATCCACCGTCCTGCCGCGGGGTGGATAGCTACTCCCTCCACCCAGGCCCGTGTCCTCTGTGGTGGAGCCGTTCTCGCAGCTCTTCTCACAGCCTTGCTCTTGCCTCCCAGCTGACATCAGGAGGAAGACCACATTATTACGTGTCCTACCGAAGGAACGCGTTCGCCCAGATGAAGCTTCCGAAGTACGCTTTGCCCAAGGTATGTTCTGACTCCACTGCCGCCGGCCCACGCCGGGCGCACAGCCCGGCCCCGCAGCCCTGCCCCGGCACGCTGCAGCCGCTTTCTTATCATCCCATCTCCGGTTCTCAAATCCTGCTTCTCACCTTCTAGTTCTGCCAGTCTCACTGCCCTCCCTTCTTGGTCCTTCTTTCTCTCTCATTCTCTCTGTCTCTGTCTCTCTCTGGATTTCTTGATATTAGAGCATATGAATTAATAACTGATTTATTTTTGTTTTTCAATAGTAAAGATTGTCCAGCAGTGTGTACTGATTTTCTATCCATACGGAAAAGTAAACGTGTTATGTCTGTGCAATAGATATGACCCATTTCTCCCTCAGTGTATGGTTAGGACAAATTGTTTATTGAGACTGCTGCGCACACGTGACTGCAATTTCCACTTTGTTTCCCGGGGAGACTTAGAGTACTTGTGGTCTTTAGAGCTCTGTCGCACAGCTAACTATTTTACTCTTCTTGAGACGTTCCCCTTTCAAAATAGGGCCGAAAACCCTCAATCAGGGCGGGCATCCCACGATCTTTCTAGAGACACGGAAAAGCTGTGTTGATGTGCAGCGCCACCTGGTGGAGGTCATACTCACCTGGGCGCTCGCACTTACAATCACTAGCTTGTGTGTCAAAAACTAGAGCTCCCCCTCACCCTGAGCTCTTGCAGCCATTCTGGTGTATGTTAAGTTTCTTAATATATTGTGGTTTAATCTGAGAGCAAGAGAGATGGATGTGAGAGATTTGTAAGAAGGGGATTCTGAGAGTTTTGTTAAAATTATAGCTCAGCTTTGAAACTTTTAAGTTGCACAAAGAACATGAACTTTTAAATTGAGTCTTCATGCATTTCTCTTTTATTTTCATCCTTGACTTGTGGTATGTTATCTTGGAGCAAGGGTAGGTAGCTGTCCAGGAACTTATGATAGAAGCAGCACAAGAGCATAGCAGGGCTCGTCTCCCAGGAGAGCCCATGGTGATAGATTGTTTGATCTTTCCTAGGCAGAATTCTTTCACCTGACCAGCCCTCTACCCCTTACCCTAATAGTGAAAGGGGCTGTAGTAGCCCTTTAGAGGTAATAATGCACAGCAAAGTGCCCGTTAACTCCAATGAGCTATATCCATGTTAGTAGTTATTACTATTTTCAGCTGCTCGGAGATTAACGACTGTGGTAATTGCCCGGAACCATATGTCTGTGTGGGTATACACATTTAAATGTTTCTTGCTCTTGATTTGGCTTAGCTCGTCTTTTCCTAAAAAAGATAAGGACATACATCAGTGAATGATGTCTTAGATGAGAACTGGATGAAGTTTGTGTGTAAACAGAAAACTGAATGTTATTAAAATTACCCTTGATAATCTCTTAGGAAAGTTCCTGAGGCAAATGGACAAATTGCCTCAGTAAACAAAGTAGAGTTCCCTCCTACTCCAGACTACTAAAATAAATTGTGATTTCTTTGGCCAAAAATGAAGTAGTTAGCTTGCAAGGTCTGCACCATTAAAAACAAAACTCCTCAATGCAGTGAGATAAACCTTGCCCAAGACTGAATGCCATTTGCTGCGGAATCGAGGCTGGACTCTAGTTTTCTGACACCCAAGCTGGTGATTATAAACTTTTAAGCCTTTGACAGTAACTGAATCACTTCTCTTGTTAAAACATAACATCACCATCCCTCCCCCAACATTTAATATACTATCAGCAACGCTGAGTGGAAACCCCTTTGACCTAATAAGTCCCAGAAATGGAAGTGTGAAATCAAAGCAGCTTGTACGAACCCACTGCAGATGGTTCAGGAGAGACTTGGCATTGCTGAGTCACAGCCCTCACACCGGTCACTGCTGACATTTGACCCCGGTGGCATCCAGCCAGTGTGGAAGGAAAAGTTCTACTTTGAACCTGAGGCAGCTTGTGTTCCCCTCCCTCTGCTCTCCCAGAGGACCGTGTTCCAGGATCCAGCCTCAGCTGAGCTCTGAGGGTAGAATGCGGTAATTAATTTAGCTTGTTCCCACAAAACGAGAGCCTGCATAGCAAAAGAGCGGATTACTTGGTCCAGGTGGGTGTTTAGTATATAAAGCAATGCGAGGCTTCATCACAATGCCATTACACCTTCGAAGAGAAGCCCGGCTTAGGGGGCGGGATCTGCAGCAGAGGGGCAGCTATGTCATGGTCTTCTGTCAGGTCCAGGGCCGCTGCCACTGAGAAGAAACAAAAAACCTTCCTGCCAACCAAAGGAATCCAGACCGCTGAGCATTTTCATGCTTGAATTTTATTTAATCATCTGCTCCCATTGTGTCCAGTTCTTGAAAGATCACAGCACCCGCAAGCTGTGTGTAAAAAAGAATTAATAGCACAATGGTAAAGAATGGACAAGGAAGGAGATAGGTAAGTTTTAACATGTGGTTGCCATTGCAAAGCACATAGTCCTCTAGTCAAAGAGATATAGTGACAGTCTTCCTGCCTTAACTTACTTGGAGCTCATTCTGAGCCACTCAAGTGAGATAAATGAGGCAATACATATGAAAGTGCTGTGAGCATTTTGGAGGACAGATACTCTATAAAAGCAAGGTAATATTATTATTAGTATGGATCCAGCTGTCTTCGCAGTGGAAGATCAATGTATTCCAGGACGCAGGTGGTGTGAAGGCTGTTTGATCTGTGACAGAAGACCCAGATTTGGACCTGGGTTTGTCGCTAACTTGAGTTGCAGCCTCGGACAGCTGCTTTATCTATTTTTCTTTGCCTCCTTTTAAAAATAAGGACCTTAAATGCAAAATAATATTTTCTCAGATGTATTAGAATAACATGTCCTGACTGATCTATCCCAGAAAAATTTCATCCTATGATCAAACAAGTTAAAAAAAAATGAACTCCATTCTGTGTCCTCTGCCTGGAGACTAATTCATCGGGGTGTGGGAGAGTCGTGACTGTCCTATCGGCCAGAGAAATCTCTGATTCAGCATTAATTAAAACATTTCCCCCAAACAGTCCTTGCTCCCTATTTTTAGTCTGTTAAAATCCAACAATGCCAGTGCCTTACCCAACAAGTTGTTTCCAGTGCTTCAATAGAAGAGCTACAAGATTGTATCTTGGTCTAAAATTATGTGATTCAGTCAAAGAGAAAAGTAATATTTTCATGATACAAGAAGAGGATTTAGGCAAGAAGGATAAAGAAAGGTGGCATTTAAAATGTCAAATTTGTCCATTCAAGTATTTAAGACCAACATCATTTCTAAAGGTCTGTTCAGTGTAATTAGATTATATGAAGAGAAGGAAATCATTTTAATCTGTTTTTCAGTGACTAGTTCTCTGAGTAATCTAGATCAAAATACTTAACGTATCTGAGCTTTTAGTTACGAATCTACAAAATAAATATCATGCATGGTGAGTTAGAACAGATAACCTAAGCCAATATAGGATTATTTAATCGGACATCTTCTGTGAGGATCTCAGAAGTTCACCAGTGCAGAAATTCAGCCTGAAGGCACAGAGGTGGCAAGTAGCTATATGCTGTTGCCAGCTTAATTTTGAGAGTTTAACTTGACCTGGGTGATTGCATAGCATTCTACAGGAGGGAAGCATGAGTTAAGATTGCTTGCTTGATAACTCTAAATGCTAGGGTAGAAGTTTCTGTCTTTACCCATGGTAAGTGGAGAGCCTTGAAGGTTTACATATCCATGGGGGAAGAAATGGCTCTGGGGCTCATTTCCACAGCTAATTCCCTCCATTAAGAAAGAAGACATTTGAAAGAGCCATGCTTTGTTGAGTATATTAGTGAGGACTCTAACATTTACGACACAGAGAAGCCAAATCCACCTTGCTTAATCAATAAAGGGGATAGAAAGGCTTTCTTCACTGAAAATTGCTAGCAAGTATGGAGCAAGTGCTAAGTGCCAGACAACTAGTTGTTGAACACTTAATAAATGGTTTTATTTTCACCAGTCTGAGACGGGTACTCTATTGTACCTCTTTTGCAGGTAGAAATTCCAGACATACAATTTGTTCACATGTCTAAATTAGAGTCAGGAACTGAACTCCTGTTAAAATGAGAAATTTTGATTAGAAGTTAGGGAGAATTCTCCGGCACCAGAATTGTTGCCAAGTAAGATCGTCAGATCTCCTGAAGCCTCATCCAGGATAGAGCAAGGTCTATTTGTGAAAATTTGAGTGGTTGGTGAGTCACCCAGAGGCCGAGAATCTTTGTCTGTGTTTGTGATCTTGTGCAACTCTTCTGACCTTTTTTTCTGCTTTGTTTTGGTTTTTGATTCCTGCTATTGTAGTGTGTCTACTGCTTTGACTAAAGGATAAAATACCTCTGGGGGTATATGAAGGGGCCTCCCCAAGAGGAGGCAGCAAGGCTAAGCTGTGCCAGCCTCTGCCTCTCTAGGGTTCTGAGTGGAGGAGGAAGAATGTGGAATTCCCATCCAAGGAACTTCCGTCTGCTGCCTCCATGGGTCCTTAAAGTTTCCTGCAGGACCTCTCAGGCTAAAGGTTTTGGTTATCAGCTTAAATACTAATTGACATGGATTAGTACCACGGGGGTCTCTGATGAAATTTTTCCTCCTGAGAGGGTTGCTGGGAGTTGTGAACTTGAGGGCAGGGCTTCTCAAACTTCCATGTGCAGACTGTTCTTCTAGGAATTTTCTTCCCTTAGATGGGAACAGAGGTTCTGGGGTCAACTTGCCGGTGACCCCTGGGCTGCTGCTTCATGGACCACAATGACAGATGGAATATTTGTCTGCTTTCTCTTTGTCTCTGAAGACTTTTCTCATATTTGCTTCATGTAAGCCTTTTGAGCATGTGCCATGTTTGAGCTTGGCAAATATATCAGAATGATTAGTTCTGCAAAATCATGCATATTTAGGAAAATGTTCTCTCAATTATCTAAGAGGGCAGCTAGAGTATAACTAAGCTGCTAAACATCCTTCTATCATATTTTCTCATGACCTTACTGGCTCACCCCACAAATGACAAAGGAAATGTGTGATTGAAAGGTACCTAATTATTCTTGGTCACATATGCAGAAGGAAGCCGCCTGTCCTTCATGAGAGTGCCGGTCCCCACTCGATGCTGCACTCTGGGACCCGTGTAAAAAGTCTTCTTCCCTCTCCACTTCCTTGTTTTCCCGAAGGACATGCACGTTATCAGCACAGACGAGAACCAGGTCTTTGCAGCTGTGCAAGAGTGGAACCAAAACGACACTTACAACCTCTATATCTCGGACACCCGCGGTGTGTATTTCACCCTGGCCTTGGAGAACGTCCAGAGCAGCAGAGGCCCCGAGGGCAACGTCATGATCGACCTCTACGAGGTATGTCACCAGGCTTATTTGGCCCTGAGCCACAGCAGCACCGGGACTGGCCAACAAGGGTCCAGTCAGTGACTGATCGCTTTAATACCAGTTCCCTCTGTGGCCTCATTCCTCTTGGGAGGTGGAGGGATTTCTAAAGTATTTTTATGACTTGATTTACAATCCACAAAGCTCTCCAGGATTCTTCTTTGCCCTGGGGGTAGGAAGCCCCAGGAACTTGCAGAGTATCTGGGGACACAGTTAAATAGAATTTGCATAGTAGCCATCTTCCTGTGATATTTCAAAGTAGCTTTGAGAAGAGAGGGGGTGTCTTTAAAGTGGCAGGGGCAACTCTTGTCTCTGGAGAAGGAGTGAAGGAGATAGGGTTACCCTCGCCTGGCATCAAAACATGTCCTTTGGCTTTGAATCCCTTTCTGGCCTCCTTTGGTGAATGACCTTCTTCTCCCTGGGCCATGGTGCAAGGTAAGATCATTAGGTTCTTTTTTCTGAAATTTGGAAAAATTAGTTAACAAGCACCAACAAAAGCAGAGCTTACCAGACTTCCTTAAGAGAACTGTGGCCCTTTGTTTCCCAAAGTAACCAAAACTCAAAGCGTGCAAGTTGGACCAGTCAGCCTTCATGGCAAGTACCAAGTACCAAGGATTTAATTGCTTTTAAAGCACAGAGAAGTACAAAGAAAGACACTATTTAGGGGAGGATTTTAACCACGTTTCAGTCTTACATTGTACTTGAAGGATTTATAATGGGGAATGATGAGCCATTTACAAATACCTTCAGGATTTGCAAAGTGCAGTCATGTACCTATATTCTATTTGAAAAAAATAATAAAATAGATTAAAATAGCTATAGTCATAATGACAGTATGCTTTGACTGAGGATGAATTCAAGGAGTCAAATGGCTGTTTGTATAACAAGAAGTAATGGAGCTGTATTCAGTATGAAAGAAATCAATTTTCCTTATTAAATTTGAGCCAATCATTGTAATTCCTCAGTGTTTTCTATCTTGTTTCTCTTTTATGCATTTGTGGCCATGTTCTTCTAATATCTAAACTTCTGTCTATGTGTCAAGGCATATTAACAAATCACAGGCCAATCCAGAACCCAAGTGGTTTTTAATAAGATGGTGACAGAATAGCATAGAGCATGGTTTGTGTGTATATACTTAGAAAAATACACTGAAAGCTATTTTTATGCTTTCCCAGGTTGTCTTCGCAGTCTCTCCTGCTCATGTTCCAGATAAATATAGCTTCATACATCTCAGCTTCAAGCTGAACATGTATTCTGGAAAATACTTACATATTCTGATGATTCAGTTTAAAATTCATTTTGGATAAAATTAGGGTATAGATATTTCAATTCAAATTGCCTGAGATTATATCCTCTCCATGCCATTTGTGTATGTTCTTGACACAGATCTTTACCTTCTGAGCCACTGTCTCTTTAGTTAAAATATGGACATAAAAGCAGTAGGATAGGATTTCTCTGAGGATAAAGTGAGTTAATCCTTCCAAAACATTGAGAACAATGCCTGAAATGAAACAACAGTGCTCAACAAATTATGGATAGAGAATTAACATTACGCGCAATGCATCTAAACATGAATATAATATTCTACTCATGTGTCCTTAAAAATCTACCCACATTATTTAAACTTTCAGTACACGTCCTTTGAGTTCTTATTTCTTGAACATTTCAGGTAGCATGCCACATGACATTCTTTAACACCACCTGCTTATTTCTTTTTTTTTTTTTTTTG